AATCCACTCTTAAAGGTTATCAAATGCTCCTCCCTCTTCTTATACATAGTATTGGCCACCACCGGGTTAGAAGCCAATGCAAAATCTAAGATTCTCTCTCCAGCCTCATTTCTGTCACCAAAACCGTATCCACCATGCACCCTTTCATAACCTAGTTTATTTATGCCCACATGGCCATTAAAATCTCCACCTATAACCAGGTTCCCTCCTACGGGTATCTCCTGTAAGATCTCATCCATTTGCTCCCAAAAATCCCTCTTAGTCTGATCATCTAACCCTCCTTGAGGGGCGTAAGCGCTAATAATGTTCACTATATTCCCTCCAATAACTAGTTTAACTAGCATAATCCTATCTCCTTTCCTAGTGACCGCCACCACACTTTCCACAAGACCCTTGGCAATTATGATTCATACTCCATTCCTACGTCTATCCTTGGCAATAATGAAAAAATATCCATAAAAGGAAAAGAATTCCCTTTTAAACCAGAAAAATTAACATAAGTGATATTTAATAATATATTATCAATAAAGAACATGGACTGTGAAAACTACGATTATTAAAGTAAATACAATTCAATCATATAAACACTGTAAGAACAAATCCCAAATTGGCATACATAAAATCAAACAAATTAACACACGTAGCCCAAACCAGAAACTTCAGAAGTTGTAGTCCCATTGATCTTGGTCAAAGTCACTACAACCATTTCCCTAGGCGTCACATGACACGATGCTGATTAGTCTCTATAACCAATCCACCAACATATTAAAAAAAATTGCGAACTTCAATTTCACAGTAAGGGAAGAGAGAGAGAGAGAGAGAGAGAGAGAGAGAGAGAGAGAGAGAGAGAGAGGGAGAGAGGGAAGAGATATATATGTTGGTATGATATAATAAAACTAGAATGACTTTCTACTATGTATCATTGAATGTTATGTCACCAGCAAACATTTGCCCTGTAGGACACAGATTACATCAGGAAAAAAAAAATTATTCAGAACTCTTAATAGATTTTACTTATGATTCTCAATTTTATATGCTAGTCTTCCAAATTGTAAATAAATACACGTAAAACTAGAGTTTGGAGAGAGGAGTTGTTGGGTTACGGTGTAGAGAGAGAGAGAGAGTAAGGAAAGAGAGTGCATAGGGGTCAATTTCTAGCCCAGGCCAAAAGTAGATTGTTAGCTCTAAAGTCAAATAAAATATATAAAAAAAAATTCCCCCAAAAAAGGGGCCCAAAACACCACAAGAATTTCCAAAATTTTCTAAGTGCCAACACCTCAAGGAGGAGATGTTGACACCTCAAAACAGTGGTGCTCCAAGGAAGTTCAACATAAGTCGGGTGTCGACCCCAAAAAGCCCAGGTGTCGAAACTTCCAAGCAGTGTCACACCTAGATCACTGACCAAGCAGTGTCGACACCACAAAGAGGCAGTGTCGACACCAAGAAGCAGAACTCCAAGAGGAAAAGAAAGAAATGCAAGTGTGTCGACCCTAGGAGCCCTAGTGTTGACACCTGAATCATAAATTCAAGGTTCTAAAGCATTTTTCTGACAAATCTTGAGTGCAATTCAATATTCCTATCATATTTTAGATCAAATTTCCACTCTACCATTTCAATATTACCTCACCCAAAGGATCTCAATTAAAAAATTACTAAAATTACACACATCTTATTGCCTTAAGGGGCACAAGTGTTACAGTTCTCTTGATCATATCAAGAGTGTTTTGATCTAATTTCCTTAATGTAGACGATGATAGACTTGATCCATACATTAGACTTCATTGTATTATGGAGGCGGATTTGTTGTAACCCTGTTAGACCTTTTGTATTTTGATGATTGTTTTTGTTTTTGTTTCAACTTTGTTTTGATTTATTTGCACAACAATGTTGTCACCAATATTACTAGCATTAATTAGCAACCCAGAAATTAAAAGTTCTTAAATTACAACTCCAATAAAAACTTAAAACTTAGTCTTAGTACATAAAAATAACACGAATATAACATAAAAAAAAAACTAGAAACTTAAAAGAGTTCATAGATCTTGGGCACTCTTCAAGCTAACCAAGGCTGAGGGTCGCCTTGCAAGGCCTCGGTGTTTCCTTCGGTTTCTTCGGTACCTGGCATAAAATGCCAGGGCAACGAGAATGCCAGTGAGTGACGAGCTCAATAAGATACTACAACCTGAAAATACCCACACCGATAATAATACTCACAATTTATGAATAATGTGTAGAAACAGAATAACAAGTAGCATTTAGCAAGCATAAAAGGAATGCTATCAGTTGAAATAATAATAATATATAATAATAAATCAAATAAAAAAAATATAACAAACGGAAGCAGTATTTCATCATAAGGAATATGCCCACCTTTCTTTTTAAAGTTTCATAGATTTAGTTTATCAGATAAATTTAAGTAACTCCCCGCGGAGTACTATTTCCACTCAATCACTAAGCAATGGCCACAGGCAATTCTGACTCCCCCTTGGTCAAATGTTCAAATGTTACTTACTGTAACTACCAATGATGCCCACGCACCAGGGTTACATACCCGAGTCATGACATCACGGTTTGCCCCAAGGGAACGGTCTATGTTGTGACACCCGCACCACCAACCTTATATTGCCTACACCGATAAGAGTCAAAATACCTTCCCGTGCCATGTTAGGGTTCGCAACTCACTTGCGCAAGATTCTAAACCGGGCTCACCCCATCACTTTTAAATTTTAACATTTAATTACTAATAATGTTATAACAACTCATTAAAATTTTCAACATAAAATATTACATATGTCACACAATAATAAATAATTGTACAAAATTTAAATAAACAATTTATTTAAACCATTGTATGAAATAATAATTTAGAAACCAATAAATCATAGTTACACACATGCATGGATTTTTAATCTACAAGATTAGACTAGCACAATATTATTATTTTTTTTTTGGGTCCAAATAAACAATTGAAGAGATAATTTTTGATTCCTTCTTAATCTGCCAGAATTTTCAGAATGCATAACTCGTAATTAAAATTATAAATAAATTATTTATACAACTCTAAAATTCATATAAATCTACAGAATACTCAATAAATATGTTATGGTCATTTTTCAGAAAGAATTTTCCAAAAATAAATTATAAATAATTCATAAAAATTCCAAGAAAGTTTATGACACAGATTTATCACATTTTCTTAAATTAATTCCATACTTAAATTTTTAAATCAATTCCATAATCTTAAAATTTATTATGAAACTAGACTTCTCAAATTTCTTTTGTTGTTTAGAAATTATCAGATTTGGTTTAATATAAATTTTTTTTTATAATTTTTCAAACACATAGTAAAATCTGCCTATAACTCCAGATTTGATTAAAAATCTGTATAAATTCGTACAAAACTCCATAATTGTTAAAAAAAATTCATGAATGAAGTAGACATCATTCTAAACAACTTTGTAGAAGAAATCATCTTCAAAGTTTAAGTATAAAATTGTTTAAAAATTCATACAAATTTTCTGGTAGATTTAAGGACCAAATAAATTCTTCAATCCTCTCTTTAATGGTATAAACTATACATGCAAGCATATTTTCACAATAATACCATGACTTTAAAACTATCAATATTTTCAAATATTTGATATACACATCACAAAATTTACATACATATATAACAATTTCTATCTATAAATTAGTCATTTTATCATATGGATAAAATTTGAAAATTTCAACAATTAAAAAAAAATGAGAGGGTTGAGTAGGTTTTCTTACTTAATAATAGAATGATGAAACGGTAGAAAATTTTAGCTTCCTTAATCTCCCACTCTTCTTCCTCTCCTACTCAACTTAGCTGCTTCACAAATTTCTTTTATTTTATTTATTTATTTATTTTTCCCTTTCTTCACCGAATGCTTGCATGCATATCTATATACAATGCTTGCCGAGGCCCCCCTCCTCTCTCTCTCTCTCTCTCTCTCTCTCTCTCTTCATTCTAAGTTCACTTTCTTTCAATTCCAAGAGTATAATGGGCTCTCCTTCCCTATAATAACATGCAATCCAGCATGTGGCAAAGTTGCCACCAAAAATCTGCAAGTTTTTTTTTTTTTTGGTATTTGTGTAAGTTTCTTAAAATTGATACACTAAGATTTTTAACTAAGGTATTTAGTAAGAATAATTATCATATTGAATTCTAATTAAAATAATTTATAAACAATAAATATTAAACACCCACAAAATTATTATTCTTAATAATGTCTTTGTTAGTAATTGAATTGAGTTAATGTAAAACTAACTTTTACACTAATATATATTTCAAATAGACTCTGGATAAAATTAATTAATTAATTTATTTGTTTATTTTCTTTTAAGAATAATTAAATGTGGGTTTTCACAATGACATACTGTGTATTTCATATATAATTTTTTACGACATTTTTGTCATATCATAAATTATCATAATTTCCATGGCATAGTTTTACATGCCGTAGAAGGTTCTTTTGAATATATTTATGACATACTTTGTATGCCGTATATAATATTTTATAGCATTTTCTTGCATGTCATAAATTATTACTACTACATAATTTTGTATGCCATAGAAGGTCATTTTTAATATATTTATAACATGCTTTGTATGCCGTATATAATCTTTTACGGCATTTTCTTGCACGTCCTAAGTCATTATACTTTTTATGACATAATTTTATATGCCGTATAAGGTTATTTTTAAAAAATAATATATATTCAGGAATATAACCTTTACCTAACAGTATGCAAACAATAATTTATAAAATGCAACTTATGAACAAACCAAGCAGAAGCAACTATGACGTAAAAAAATCTAATATCCATACACCAAACAACCTGCATACTAACTTCCATCCTCAACTTCTATCATATCAAGTTGATAACAACCTCAAACATACAAATCATGAAAAGTATCCAAATCATAAGATTCACTAATCTCTAAAATACGACTTTAACAACCTCAAACATACAAATCAAGAAAAGTATCCAAATCATAAGGTTCACTAATCTCTAAAATACAACTTTAAACATCCAAAAAATATAACTGCAAATCGTAAATCAATTAGTCTCTAAAATATGACTCTAGTTTCCACTAATCTCTAAAATACAACTTTAACAACCTCTAAAATACGACTAATCTCTAAAATACTAATTGTATAACTACTAAACTCTAAAATACGACTTTAACAACCTCAAACATACAAACCAAGAAAAGTATCCAATCATAAGACGTTTTCACAAAGTACAGTCCAGCGCTCTAGCTTCCACTCCGTGCACCCTCCCAAGAGAGCATCCAAAGCAACTGGAATATTACTATAAAATTCTCCATTGAATTGAAAGAGCGCATTCTCCATTGAAAGAGCTCATTCTCCACTGAAATGAAAGAGCACATAGATATATATACACACACAAACATGTATTCAAAAGATAGAATATAAGTTGTAAATTAACCTGAGCAAGGTCGTGGCATAGTCACAGAATAGCAAATAACCATTTGGCTGGAGAAAGAAAAGTTGAAATCACATTAAGAGATCATAATAGTAATATCAATTACAGATTTTCAAAATTTCATACTGGCATTTACTAATCATTGCCTTAAGAACTTTTCTGATATTCGGCAACACCAGTGGCATCTTCTCAGGGGACACAGCAAACAGCATGAATATCTGCTTAAAAAGTCAGCTAGGTAACAACAAACATTACAGGAAAAGCAAGTAAACTCAAGATCTGAAGCAAATGCTAAATGAAGCACTCCTACAAGAGGAAAGCACTTAGCATCAATAAGTTGAACAAAAGGAGGAAGTTGTCACAGCATACATGTCAACTTCAAAATTATCTACACACAGCTCATCCTCATCACCACTATCATCTCCTACATTCAGAAATGGAGGGAACAGTCACCACTGCATCACCAAAAAGGCACATATCTCTCTCTCTCTCTCTCTCTCTCTCCATTTTATTGTATATGTTGAAAATTTTGAAGTCTGCATGAACCAACCTCTAAGCTCTAACACCGTAGTTTTGTTGTGTGTTTGTTAATTGATTTTCAGGTTTGCAGTAGTAGCAGGGGGCGGCGAAGGAATTGGATCAGAGATATGTAGACAGTTAGCTTCCAATGAAGTCATGGTGATCTTAACAGCTATAGATGAGAAGAGGGGTACTGAAGCTGTTGAAAATCTCAAAGCTTGTGGGTTATCTGATATTTTTTTTCATCAACTTGATGTTACATACTCTGCTAGTATTGCTTCTTTAGCAGATTACATCAAAAATAAATTCGGAAAGCTTGACATATTGGTAAGATTGGAAGAAAACTAAATTGATTGAAACTAATTTTAACCAATGGTGTATGTGTATCTATTTGTCTAAAATTATCAACGATAAACAACTTACATATAGAAAGTGTGATTTTTACGGAATGTGAACAAATTTATCTCCAAGTGAAGATTTCTTGAGACACATAGGTCTGTTTCAAACTTTAGAGTGGCTCCTTGTAGCATTTCGGTTCGCACAACATCCCACAAAGTAGATTATTGATCGATTTCACAACAGATAATTGTAAGAAAAATAAATGAACTCGATTAGAAGGTCATATCATATAAAGACTGTCAATAAAATGATAATCTACAAATATTATGCTACTTTCATAATACAATTTGTCAATTTTTTTTTTTGTTTTTTGATCAACAACAAAAGCTTTATTGATAAAACAAAAAAAGAAAAGAGGATAAGGCATCCTCTTACAATAGGACAAAGAGAATACAAACACAAAAATAACCCGTAACAAGCTACACACGGACAAAAGACTACATAGCACACACTGCCACCCAGTCTCTAGCTAACAAAAAAAGTGGAACTCACTTAAATAATGAGTTCCCTGATGCCCAAAAAGAAGATAAGTGACACATGATCCCACAAACAGCCCACTTCCCGAAACTTCTCTTCAAACAACCTTTGATTTCGCTCCATCCATAAAACCCAAAAAATTGCGAAGACGGCACAAGACCATAGAATTTTGGCTCTCTTCGATCCTCCAAAAGTACAAAAATCAACTAGAAGCATATGCGCACTCCCTTTTGGGGCAACCCACATAACATTTCCCAAAGAAAACAAACAATGCCATAAATATGAAGCTACTGGACAATGCAAGAATAAATGATCCACAGACTCCCCGTTCTCACAACACAGAATGTACCACTGAGGATTTAGAACACAATTAGGTCTCCTTTTCTGCAATGTATCATTTGTCAAAATGCCTTCATGAACCAAGGCCCACATGAGCACCTTTACCTTTAAGGGAGCACAAGCCTTCCAAACTCTTTTGCAAAAGGGAAACTGCGGAGCTTGAGGATTATCAATGATGAAATCAAAAAAAGACTTACAAGAAAATATTCTGGACGAATGAAGAGTCCAAACCCTCGAATCCTCCAAAAGAGGAGATAAAGAAAATTGATCAATTCTGGATAATAAAGAAATCAACTGCGAAGCCTCTCTATCTTTAAGATTCCTAGAAAAATCAAAATTCCAGGAGATTGGAGCCAAAAGTGAGCAAGCCATGGAAGCAATTGAAGAATTATGGGAACGAGCCACTCGATATAGATGCGGGAAATCGGCAGCAAAAGAAGATTGACCCATCCAAACATCCTCCCAAAACCGAACAATTTCCCCATTACCCACGCTTACATGAAGATGTCGGGACCAACATGTGAAAATTTGGGAAATTGACTTCCAAGGAGCACGACAGCTACCCCTCAACACCACTTGTGAATCCCTACCATTGTCTTGAATCCCATATTTGCTTCTTATAACCGAATGCCATAGTGAATTAATCTCAAGTGAAAATCTCCATAACCACTTGCCAAGAAGGGCCAAGTTCCTAGCCACTATATTACCTATGGCCAAACCCCCCTTCTCCTTAGGTAATGCCACCATCTCCCATTTCACCAAATGATCCTTTTTCCCCTCATCCTTGCCCTCCCAAAGAAAATCCCGCATCAACTTTTCTATTGCCCTTGCCACCTTAACCGGGACCTTAAACAGAGATAAATAATAAATGAGAATTCCACTCAAAACAGTCTTAACCAAAGTGTATCTTCCCCCTCGAGATAATAAAGACTTACTCCATCCTTCCAATCTCTTGCCAATCTTTTCCACCACTGGAGACCAAAAAACTTCACTCCTAGGATTACCCTCCAATGGAAGACCTAAATACTTAAACGGAAGTGCCTCTATACCACAACCTAAAAGAGACGCCCTATTCTGAAGTTGATCTTGCTGCATATTAATTCCCACCACGCTACTTTTTCCTAAATTAATCTTGAGCCCCGAAAGCATCCCAAAAATCCTCAAAACCGAATAAAGATTAACTATATGACTTTCATCCCCTGAAGAAAAAAATATAGTATCATCCGCATATTGTAAATGAGTTATACTAACTCTATCCCTCCCCACCTCCAATCCCTCAAAAAGACCTGTTTCTTTAGCTCTATCGACCATCCTGCCCATTACATCAGCCACCAAGATAAAAAGAAAGTGCAAGAGTGGGTCCCCTTGTCGAAGCCCCCACGAAGCCCTAAAGCATTCCCCTAGTTTACCATTAACTATGACTGACATATTGCAAGTTGACAAACAACCCCTAATCCAAGATCTCCACTGTTCACCATATCCTTTCTTGTCCATTACAAAATCCAAAAACTGCCAATCCACATGGTCATATGCCTTTTCAAAATCTATCTTAAAAATAAGACCCACCCTCCCTGAACTCCTATATTCCTCCACAACTTCATTTGCCACTAGGGCAACATCTAAAATTTGTCTTCCTTTTACAAAAGCCCCCTGCGCCCTAGACACAGTGTCCCCTAACGACACCCTTAATCGTTTTGATAAAACCTTCCCCAAAATCTTATACAATGACGTTACCAAACTGATAGGCCTAAAATCTCCAATTCTAATAGCATCCACTTTCTTAGGAATTAAACAAATAAATGTGGCATTTAAGCTTAAATTAACCACCCCTGACTCGTGAAATTCCACAAACACCCTCAACAAATCCCCTTTCACCACCTCCCAACAATCCTGAAAGACAGCCATAGAAAAACCATCCGGGCCTAGAGCTTTATCTCTTTCACATTCAAAGACCGCCTCTCGAATTTCTGTTTCATCAAAAGGCCTTTCAAGCCATGTTGCAATTTCTGGTTCAATGATTCCCCATTCTAGTCCTTCAATCCCCGGTCTACTCACCTCTTCCTTCAAATAAAGTTGAGAATAAAAATCATAAATACCACTGACAATCTGATTCTCCCTGTCCTCCACAACCCCTAGGCTTACTTCCAATCTCTTGATGAACTTCTTCCTTTTCCCGTCTGCAACCTTGTGAAAATTTTTTGAACTAACATCCCCTTCCTTTAACCATTTGATCCTTGCTTTTTGAGCCCAAGAAACTTGCTCCCTAAAAGACAGCTCCTCCAATTTCAATCTACACTCGACTCTTTCTCTCCTCAATGACTCAACTAAACCCCCTTGCACCTCCATTTCATCTAACTCAACAATTCTGCTCATTACCTCCTTTTTTGAAGAATCCAAAATTCCAAACACCTCCCTATTCCAGCACTTCACCTTCTCCTTGACCATCTTCAACTTTCTCATAAATTTAAAACCTTCCCATCCATGACAACTAGTATTGGTCCACCATTCCTCAAAATTTCGCTTAAAACATGCATGCTCTAGCCACATGTTCTCAAATTTAAAAGGCACCGGACCCCATTTTAATGGACAACTTTCAAGCACAATAGGACAGTGATCTGAAATTACTCTAGGTAGTGATTCTTGTCTTAAATTGGGAAAAACCCCGTCCCACCCCAAAGAGTATAAAAACTATCTAATCTGCAACACACCAAATTCTCTTGAAGATTTGACCAAGTAAATCTGGTATTACACAAAGGAAGATCCACGAGTTCACACTCTCGGATAAACAAATCAAAATCTCTCATCCCCCTAGTGACTCTAATCCCATTAAGTTTTTTTGAAATGGACCTAACCACATTAAAATCCCCTTCTAAACACCAATTTGGTGAACACAACCCAAATAATCCAGATAGCTCCTCCTAAAAATCCACTTCACCTTCTCCATGACCATCTTCAACTTTCTCATAAATTTAAAACCTTCCCATCCATGACAACTAGTATTGGTCCACCATTCCTCAAAATTTTGCTTAAAACATGCATGCTCTAGCCACATGTTCTCAAATTTAAAAGGCACCGGACCCCATTTTAATGGACAACTTTCAAGCACAATAGGACAGTGATCTGAAATTACTCTAGGTAGTGATTCTTGTCTTAAATTGGGAAAAACCCCGTCCCACCCCAAAGAGTATAAAAATCTATCTAATCTGCAACACACCAAATTCTATTGAAGATTTGACCAAGTAAATCTGGTATTACACAAAGGAAGATCCACCAGTTCACACTCTCGGATAAACAAATCAAAATCTCTCATCCCCCTAGTGACTCTAATCCCATTAAGTTTTTCTGAAATGGACCTAACCACATTAAAATCCCCTCCTAAACACCAATTTGGTGAACACAACCCAAATAATCCAGATAGCTCCTCCTAAAAATCCTTTCTCCTAGAAGGCCTGTTAGGATCATAAACCCCTATCAACCACCACTCCGAATTGTCTAAGTTTCTAAACCTAACTGATAGCAAAAACTCCCCCACTATTGTTTCACACTCAGAAACCACTCTTTCATCCCACACAATCACAACTCCCCCTGATCTACCATTTGCAGGCAAACACGCCCACCTCCTATGTCTAGTACCCCAAAGACTTTGCATAAACCTCCTCTCACACACCTCTACTTTAGATTCCTGCAAAACAACTATGTCCGGTTGCTGACTCCTAAGTATATCCTTGATCACACTCCTCTTTTTTCGAAAACCCAACCCCCTCACATTCCAACTAATAATCTTCATAGGGAAACATTTCCTTCCCTAACCGCCTCTCGTCTCCTCTCATAATTAACTGAACTTGCTAAATTCCTTAATTCCCTTACCCCCTTTTTACTACTCTCGCACTTGGACCTTTTACTTATCCTAGAGGGCCCAAACGAGCCCTCAATTTTAACCAATGACAACCCCATGACCTGAAGTAATTGCAAAAAATGAGGAATCTCACTCTCCTCAATTGGACACGTCTCATACTTGCTCAACTCATGCAACCAACTCTCTATTTCCTCCTTCCCTTCACTAAAAACTTGGCCCCCCTTGTCAGGATGTTTTTCGAAAATCCCACACTGATTATCATTCACCTAACCTTGAGATATATTAGCATGTAAGGACTCAGACACTAAGATAGACTCATTCACAATGGCCGTCGGGATTTCAGCAGTAACCCCTTGTACAATATTGTCAGCTAATGAAACTTCGTGAATAGGACAAACGGAATTGGACCGATGAAACACAGATAACCCATCCCGATCCTTATCCCCTACAAAGGAAGAATTTGGAATAGCTTGTATCCCCCCATGCAAAGATGAAACTGATAAACCTTGGGTAAATGAAGGACTGACCTGATATAGAGCTTCAGAAACCTTACCGATACCCTCACCCCCAGTGGTACAATCTTCATTGAAAAAACGATTGAGATCCCAGACATTCTCATCTTGCTCATCCTCACTAATATCCACATCAGACTTCGATTCCGAACTCGCAGATGATCCATACTCCTCCAGATTTCACAAAACCTCATGAATCTCAAAATGGCCCTCATCCACCTCATGAATCTACATTTCCGAAGCCTTTATAACCTCCATTAAATCCCCGATCCCTTCCTTTGTCAACCCATTTAATTTCTGAAAATCCCCATTGGATCTGTCAACCACATCTGCCAACCCTAATCGGGCTTCCTCTGTATTCAGCTCACTATGAATGGGGGACAAAACTTGTACATAACGAACGTCTGGTACTGAGACGTCGCATGTTGGGAATCGACTTATCTCCATCATCGTTGTGCCTCGTCGAAGACCCTCCTCTCCTTCAAAACCATTAACCCAATCGGACCCCAGCCCCAAAACCTCAGTCGGGTTGGAAAGAGAATCCCTTGGGCCTACAATATTTGGGCCCCTATCGACATGTATAACAGCATTTGGACCCATTAAGAGCTGGGTCCAAATCTTTAAAAATTTGGCTATCACATGCGTCTAAAATGTCCAGTCCACCAGAAGCATTAGCTTTGCTTGAGACTAACAAATCATGGGTTGAGCCCACATCAAGCCCAAGCCCATTAGACTTAAGACTAAGCCCATTAGGATCTCCAGACTGACTGCCCCTTTCGACCCTTGCACTACCTCCATTACGCACGCCCCCCTCGCGCCTATCACCCAGCTGCTTTCTCATCTCCCTCCCGCCACGTGTCGAGCCTGTCTCCTGAGACTCCTCGCCTTCCTCTTCTCCGGCACTGAAGTCACCTGAAAACCTCCCTTGCCGATGAATCTCCCGTCTTCCAGCAGCCTTTGATAGAGCCTTCAATCGAACAATCACAGAGATCTCCTCAAGTTTAACATGAACATTCGCAGGTAAGAATCCATTGCCATAGCCTCTAACCTTCAATCTGGCCTCAAAAAGATTTTCGAAATTTCTGGTTCTACTATCCACTTCTAACAACCCACCGCACTTTGACCTGATCCATTCGAAAACCCTGTTATTCCAGAAATTAAAAGGCAAATCACAAACAGAGATCCAGCCACCATTTGAGGCTATAACAGTATCCTTACTGATCATCTCCTCTGACCACCTTTCCAATCGCAGAGCAATGCTTTTGTTAAAAAAACATACTCCTTGAGCACCATAATAGACTGCCTCCTCCGAACTGTTTGCAAGAAACAGAGCCTTGTTTAATTGAAAAGGCCTTAGAACAATTGAGGCTTTAAATGAACGATTTAATTCCTTCTCAATCTGAGCCCACCCATCGAAGAAATCAGTTCTGGTGCATACCACCACCTTGCGCATCTCCAAAATGAAGTTATTGCCTCCAAAACTACTTGATTTTGACTTAAGCACCTCAACATACGAAGCTCCTCTGTTTGCCCCTGTTTTCTGGGAGATAAACCTATTCCCATTTGTGTTTCTTCTGTAAGTACTAAATACAGCATGATTACTTCTATAATAGCCTCCTTTGTCAATAGTCCTTATCTCCTTTTCATCAGTCGTAGCCCTAGAATCTCCATAGATAACTCGTTCCAGCATCTCAGCCATTGCCTCCCACTCGTGACCATCAACCCCTGCTGGAATGATAATGTTATTTCGATTTACCCCAGCCTCCCATTTTGACATCTCAGCAAAGACACCATTCTTGTTACAAACTTTCTGGATCCAAAAAACTGCTCTATTCCCATTTGTGTTTCTTCTGTAAGTACTAAATACAGCATGATTACTTCTATAATAGCCTCCTTTGTCAATAGTCCTTATCTCCTTTTCATCAGTCGTAGCCCTAGAATCTCCATAGATAACTCGTTCCAGCATCTCAGCCATTGCCTCCCACCCGTGACCATCAACCCCTGCTGGAATGATAATGTTATTTCGATTTACCCCAGCCTCCCATTTTGATATCTCAGCAAAGACACCATTCTTGTTACAAACTTTCTGGATCCAAAAAACTGCTAAACTACTCGTGTATTTGGAGAAAAAAGGTTTATCACTGCACTGACCCCAAACCTGTCGCAAAGCTTGTATGGCCCAAGAGACACCCCCCAAATCTATCTTCATAGTGTAACTCCTGAGTCGATTCCTCTCAATGATCACCACTGAACCTCCTCTGAATTCAACATCCATCTGAATGGTAATAAGCTTATGTTCGATTCGTAACTCAGAAGCTCCCCCGCCATATACTGTCAACCTCGCATTCTCATCTCCCATGTTTAAAAAAGCGTCCTCTTAAAATCACTTATCCGGCACTTCACTAGCTCAACAGATTGCTTTACCTATTGTCGATCAGAAAGTGCTGGAAGAAATAAAAGGGACTTGTGAAAGACTACGTTAAATTATGCATTCCCTCCATTGGAAAAAATCAGAGATTAGGGAAAATGGAAAACAAAGAGCAACCAAGAGAGAAGATCCCAATTTGTCAATTTCAACAATAGAAGATATAAAATGCAATTCATATGCCATATTATCTGTTGTTCCTCATTCGCTAATGAGAAAAAAATAATTTGATTTGTTCCAAACTAGATGGAGAGGAGTTTCTCACCAAAACAACAAACAGAACCACATTAAAGATTGCAACCACCCTCCATTTAGTTTTCATGTATTGTGCAACTCCTTCCCTGGGAGCAGGATATGCAGGAAAAGCAAAGGGCAATGAGAATTTCATATAACAGAGGTAATAGAGAGAGAAGATGGAAAGTAGTAATGTTTACTTGAAGGAATCACAATTGTAGCACAAAGTAGTAATGTTTACACAGCATTGGATATGTCCACAGGTGTAATGAATCCTGTAGAGAACTTGCTTCCGTTCATCTCCAATAGGAGCAAAAAGAGTTGAATAACAAAGACAAGTTGACAATGAGGAAGAAAAGACTGATTGCCATGATGGCACAGGAAACTGTAATGCAATGGGTGATCCCAATTGATCATAGCATATAATCCCATGTTGTAAATGTATGGACAATTCAATGAGTTTAAAATGTGTTTAAATTTGATTTGCTTACTTTAAATTTAAACACATTTTAAATTTGATTTGCTTACTTTAAGTGTTAAATCTAAGCCATACATTTTTTCTTCAAAATTCACATGATTGTGTAAATTCTTTTATTTAGACACATAATGTACTTATGTAATCATATTATTCTTAAAAAGTATAGGATATTGTCTCAAGAATACAAAATAACTTCTCTCGAAATGGAGTAGTCCATTCTAACAAATCTTAATGACAAAATAAACTGCCTTTTTTTTTTAAAGCTAGTTTTGAAACACTTATAATGATAAGACATAGATCAAATCCCCAGTCACCAATTCTCTCGTCTTATCATGTTTAGAGAAACTCATGATGTAGTTGAAATAATTTGAGACATCAGGATAAAGGATAATTGGGATATAATCCGATAGAGCATTATGTGTGAACATAGCAGACCCACTTTGCAATATGCCGCTGTAATTTGCTAAAAATAGATGAATAATACGAAATGAATAAACAATAAAGTACCATGTTAAGTGGCGTTTGGCAAATGCTTTTTCAATGGCCAAACAGGGGCAGCTAAAAGAGATCCATGTATGTGTGTTATCATTGCTACCACGATTCTCACAATAAAGCAGAGACGGTTGGTAGTTAATTAAGAGGGAGTTAAAGCTTCAAGTCAATTATTGGAATCTCTATATACAAGTCTTAAAGTCAAGCAACTTGCTAAGAGCATCTATGATCTCTATATCTTTCTTGCAAGTTAAATTTAATAATACTAACTAAGCAACTAATATCTCCATCAAAATTCAGAACAAAGCAAAATTTAACTAGCAATTGGAAACAATTTCTGTAAGAATAGAGACATTCAAACCATCAAAACATGTTACATAACCAAATCAATAGAAATTTTCATTGAAGAGCTATAAACACAACACAATTCAAAATACCTCATAAGCTCCTGTCTCTATGAATCCTTGATGCTTGAGATCATAAAGTTGAATGAAACTGTATTTATCAAAAAAAAAAGTTGAAATGAAACTGGAAGGGAGAAAATTTTCGCTTAATTGAATAGAAATCAAATCAAAATCAAAGTCAAAACTCTAGAAATCAAATCAAAATCAGAGAGAGATGAGAAAGGAGAATCAACCAAAAAAAAAAAAAGAGCTAATGGATCATTTCCTGCTGGTGCGTTGAATGTAGTCTGGAAAGATTGTTCAATGAATTAAAAGCTTCTTTTATGAATTCATTTGTGCATCTATGGTAATGGAACTCATAAGTATCAATGAAAAGGCGTTAACGGGGGGTTTGGGATGATTATTACCTTGTACCATGTCAAGGGTTGTTTTGTAGCCAATAGTGATCCCTCAGCCCACTCAACAGAGGAACTTCCATCAAGGGTTTGCAGTTTTGAGTTCTCGCCTTTTAGACCAACCAACATAGAAACATCAATCTTAATTTTTATTGCTTGTTTATGAACTATATGAACTTCTTTTCCCATGTCATGCTTTATTTCATCCCGGTATCCCTATATTATTATTATCTTCTGATAAATTCTGGTATCCCTTTATTATTGTTTTCACCACTCGACTTTGAAGGAAACTTACTGGTTTCATCATTGCCTCGGACTTTTACCATTTTGAAATGTAGAGAGTATACTTGGAAACAGGAAATGGAAGCAGAAAACTCATGAAAACAAAAACAAACCTTGTAAGACCACTGTTGCTTTGTCAAGTCTCTTGTCCCCTCATTGAGGCCCTTCAGTGTGACCGGGCCAAGAACCCCCGTGTTCCATGTCTCATAATGCACACCGACATTATGAAATCGATCCAATAGAATTTAGAAAGATTCCATTACTGTCATTAACATCCCAAGAATGTAAACTTTTATCAGAAGGTATGGACTAACCGGAAGGCCAACAGCAACAATTAGTAAAGAAATCTTGTTAATTCCGGCTCTCAACTTCACAGTGCTGCTATATGTCAGTTTTGGATTCCCTAGTGGCCCGTACACGGTTCCTGCCATAAACATGTATTGGTAAATCAAGATACAGGTCAAAGCTCATTTCATGAAAGTCTTTTCAATTTTTTGTTAAAATTACTAAATAAGTTCATTTACCTGATAGTTGACCGTTGATGAAAAAGAGCGAGTTTCAATTGTCAAAAAAGCAACAAATGTTGAAAACCACAGTATATATTCATAGCTTTTGCTTAATCTACCTCTAGATTATTGCCAGGCCAAGTCACTGCGGGATACGAGGAAACCAAAGCTGGTTCACATTGCTTGATAGCTTTGTGCAAATTTGTCAAATGCCCACATTTTGGTTCTCTTAGTAATCCTTTAAGATAACAAATTATTCGTATCATATATACACGCACGATAATCTTACTCATGATCTCACAATATATGCGTGTGTATACACACATTTTTCTTTGTATTTTTTGTATTTTTTGTTTTTGTTTTTGGGTATCATACCATATTTATCAATCGGAGCATCATAGTCGTAGCTAATGGCAATGAAGAGACCAGCAACTGTCCGCCCAAAATTTGTTCCACCATGGTACTGATACAGAAAAGAAAAGAAAAGAAAAAAATTCATTGTACATGGGCTGAACTATTTCTATAAATAATATAATTTGGAATTGTTGCACTTTAGGATTCACCATCAAAATATTTGAGATCGTAAAATTATTATTATTTAATTATTTACTTGATTTGTATATTCGGGTTCTTATAGAACTGCACCACCAAATTTTGTATACCTAAGAAAAACATAGAGGAAACAGAGGAATACGAAGAAGCAGCATAAAAAAGGAATTGGATAAAATTGAAAGATTGTTGTAATATCTGTGTGATCAAACAATTTAAATTTACAACAACAAAGAAAACTCCCAAAATTAAAATTACTCGTGGCCAAAAATCACAAAATCAAAGCTGGACTAGCACAGTAAGTAATGTTTCTAGTTCGCACTCTAGTTCTTGTAAAAACAACAGTCATGACAATAACATATCAATACCATTCACAATTATGAGGTACCAAAAACCAAAAAGCAAAAAACAGAGAAACAACAAAAATAACAAACTCATTCTTTTGTTTGTTGCCATTCTTGTATAGTCAAAAATTTCTTAGTTGCATATGCCCAAAATTCATTTGTTAAAACAAACAAACGAAAACAAACAAACGAACAAAACAAAACGAAACAAAACGCCGGACACTTTATGCTCTAAATGTCTTAGCGCTAGATGCATAGAACAGATGGCATGGAAAAACTACAATATTCATCAACATAATTCATTGTTAAATTAGAAAATTAAAATAAAATTGATTACATAACAACCAGAGTTCTGTTGACATTCTCCAACAAGTATCCCTCAACAACATACCTAAAAGATTTTCTTATTCTTTTTCTTTTTCTTTTTTTCCTCACAAGCTCTGTAACTTCGGCAACTGTAAAGCCAACTTCCCACTCAAAAGGGAGGCAATCTCTAAAACACAACCAGAGTTCTGTTGACTTGGATATCTATTGATGATATTTTTTTCATCTGAGAAAAAGGAAAAGACAGTGGAGAAGAAAAAGTTGAAGCAACCCTATAAAGATCCCCTAAAGGAGTAGAGTCAATGTGCTACCCATTTGAGAGACAAATCAACATACATTACCCCAGAACCTTAAGACAAACAATCCGAACAGATCCAGCTATGAAATGCATACCAAATACATAAATTATATAAAAATCTCAAAACCCATAAATCTCATAACATACACCAATAATTGAGTGAAATGAAAGACCAAAAAATTTAAAAACTCATCCAAACAGACACAAAAACAAGAAAATAAATAAACAAATAAAATAGATGCATCAATCAGAAATGGCAGAAATGAACAATTCAAAATTCAGTGTGAAAATACACTCCTAACCTTGAATGCAGCCGATTCCAGCAGCCATAGAAGAGCATAAACCACTGGCACCTGTCAGATCATCACCACAAACTTGTTAGAGAGAGAAGCAACAAAATCGCATGGAAGATCGGAGTTGGCTAGGGTTTCCAATTGAGAACCGCCCAACTGTGCTTTGATTGGAGGTGGTAACGAACAGTCTAACCCACCGAGTTGGCTCCTAACTTCACCACTGCCACCGTCATCATCATCAACTTCCTCCAAGGGAGAGTCTACAAATATAAACAAATTAAAATCCTAAAATAAGAGAGAGGTCGAGAGTCTACAAATATAAACAAATTAAAATCCTAAAATAAGAGAGAGGTCGAGAGTCTACAAATATAAACAAATTAAAATCCTAAAATAAGAGAGAGGTCGAGAGTCTACAAATATAAACAAATTAAAATCCTAAAATAAGAGAGAGGTCGAGAGTCTACAAATATAAACAAATTAAAATCCTAAAATAAGAGAGAGGTTTCAAATAAGAGAGAGAGGTTTCAGTCACATTTGACTTGGGTAAAAATAGAATTCCACAAATATAAACAAATTAAAATCCTAAAAGTAACCTAAGATTGGGAGAAAAGAAAAGAAATGATTATTTAAATTATAATAAAAGAGAAAAAAAATATTATGATTTTTTTTTTTATTTGAAAAAGTAAGAAATAAAAAAAATGAAATGATTATGATTATGATTTCTCTCCTTCTTGTTTGATTAGATTTCATAATAAAAAAGAAAAAAATTATTTTATGTTATATTACTAAAATAACTTTTTTTATATTTTCAATCGTTTTATTTCTTTTACTTTTACAGGGACAAAATTGATATTATAAAACATAAGAATCTATTGATTTATTTTCTTTTCCAATTTCTCTATTTTTGAGAAAATTGAAAATAAGGGTTATAAGATAATGAGTTTTTCTCCGTTTCTCTCCATTTCTTTCAATTTCTCTTCACTTAAGTTATCAAAACAAGTAAGAGAAATACATATCTCTCTATTTCTTTTCTTTTCTCTTCAAATCACTCAATCCAACACATAGTGTAAGGATTTTGCTTTTACCTTGATTTTACTTTACCAGACGAAGAAGGAGTTTTCACGGCTTGTGTTAGCATGCCATTTAAAATAGATATAGACATATGAATAATATTTAAATTCAATTTGAATATGCAAAAAAAAATTATATTTTAGAAAAGTTAAATATAGAAAATTTAGGGTAATTATAAATATATTTTTTAAGATTTATTTAAAATATAAATTATTTCTTTTTATTTATTTTATCTTTTGGGTTTAAACCTTTTTATTTGGCTTTAAATATTGTTTGACTTGATATTAAATTTTAATTTTCTTAATAGAAGTTTTCACAACATGCTAATGCATGTCGTGTAAAATTATGATATATTATGGTATGAAATGTATGTCGTCTTAAATATAAATTTTTCATGACAAATTTTTGTAAGTCGTGAAAGTTTATATTTTTTATGACATTTTTTGACATGTCGTAAATATATGAATCAATGACTTATATGGTATGTATGTCATTATTGATAAAATATTAATAGCTCACAAATAAAAAATGCCACAGTTTACACTAACTATGACATACATTTAATGCATATCGTAAACAGAAAGTCGTAAATAGTTAATTTTATATCTAGTTTATTGGAAAAAAAAAAAAAAATTGTCATATCAACTAGAAATTTATAAATATTTAGGAACATCTAGAATTTTTATTATTATTATTTATAATTAAAATATAATTTCTCCAGAGAATGAGACGGTTTGGGACAAAAACAAGTATGGATCTAGAATGAGAGGGAGTGTGGCGTAAGTTTTTTTTTAAAAAAAATTTACTTTTTAAATTCAAATAATTTACATATACTTAGACGGAAAAATATTTTTTAATTTTCTAAAAAAATCACTAAATTCAAAAAAATATAAAATTTAATATTTTACGACATGAAATGTATGTTGTTTTCAGTGCAAATATTTTATAACATATTTTTGTATGCCGTGAAAATATATATTTTTTACGGTATACTTTTGCATGCCATAAAAAAAATCAGATTGCATTTTTTTTTGGGTACAAGTTTTCACGACATTCATTAGCATGTCGTGTAAAGTTATAAGATTTAACAGCATGAAATGTATGTCGTCTTAAGTACAAATATTTTACGACATACTTTTGTAAGTCGCAAAAACATACATTTTTTACGGCATATTTTTGCATGTCATAAATATATGAATTAATGACTTACATGGCATATATACTGTTATTGACAAAACATTAACGGCTTGCAAAAAAAAAATGTTGTAGAATGTACTAATTACGACATGCATTTAATGCATACCGTAAGCATGATACTGTAAATAGTTAGTTTTGTTGTAGTGTTGGAAGATCAAAATAAATTGAATATTATAAATCATTCCATGATATTTTCATCTATGTTTATATCCTAATCATGCCTATGTTGAGTTCAAAATGAGGCTTAAATAGGTACCGAACTAGTGCACCAAAGCAGCAGCAGAGAAGCAGAACACTAGAGGCCGAAATCGACTGGAGCCGGATGACCGGCCGGTCGACCGGCCAAGGCAATTTTGGTGTTTCTCTTCTATAAGCTAGGGCAGGCTTGGGACATCCGGGTGGACATTCGGGGGGACGTTCGAAAGGACGACCCAAGGAGGAAAATCAGCCTAGTTTAGCTCCGTTTTAGTTTTATTTTCACCGGCTGTCAGACCAGCAGTATATTCGACGTCCTTAGACGATAACCTTAACGACTAGGACTCATGGGACATCAGGAAGGACATCTAGGCAGACGACCCACAGGCACAAAACTTCATCTGAGACATCTGGGTGGACGTCCACTATGCAACAAAGTTCATATATCAGAACAGATGTTGAGAGGAGAAAATAACTATTTTGCATCAATACACCCATCATTTAACAGGCAAAACTCCCATGGGCAACTGAGATTCTCTGAGCAATCATTTGTATATTAACTCACTCATTATCATCCTATCTCCTCAACGGGAAGAAGAAGATAGGCTTGGTAGACAGAACAAAGCACTGAGCTCTGCTATACATACAAAGCTCTGTGAAGAGGAAAAAAAAAAAAAAGGTGAACAACAAACCAAGATATTTTCTTATCATTCATCAATCACATATTTCATCTTTTTAGAGTTATTTGAAGAGGTCTTCATCTGTGTTTCATTTTCTTCAGTATATCAGGCACTGAGCTTTTAGCCTTAAGCTTATCTACCTTTGAGAGGTTCTCAAAAAAATTAGAGAGACTTGAGCTAAGAAATTTCTTTAATTTTATCATTAGTCTCAAACTTATCCTTAAAGTTATTTGAAGTATTCTCTATTCTTGTTTAATTCATTTTCTTCAGAAAACACACACTGAGCCTAAGCCTTATGCCTATTTGCCTTTGAGAGGTTTACAGAAAAATCTGAGAGTTAGAATTTTGTATCTACTTGTGAGAGGTTATCTTTGTAGCTTTCTTTGAAAGCAAAAACACTCATTTCCAATCTTGTAAAAGGTCACTAGCAAGCTTGTAAAGTTAGAAAATCTGTGGAGGATTGCTCCATGTATATGAGGTTACTAGCACCCCTGTGCAGCTAGAAGAATAGTGAAAAG